GGAATGAAGGCCCTCACTTCTGAGCTGGCCTCGGTTGGAACGTCTCGGCTCCCTGGTTGGGTCCGAAAGACGATGAACACGTTTGGTTGGACACACTTGCTGTTATGGCTAGGAGCCGACCTCAGCGGCGTTCGTGCTGTGAGTTTCTTTGTCCCACCCCATCCCTCTTAGCCTCCCCCTCCAATCACAATCTCATTATTTGATTTTATATAATTTTGCATAGTAACTTTTTTTGATGCGCAGTAGCCGGCTGGTAGCTTACCGGAACGATGCCCAGCCGTTACCGGTAGCTCAGCCGGCTTGCGCCAGTTGCATTTTTTTCTTTTTCTCTTGTATTGCGGCACAGTAGCTGAAGTGTTCCCCACCTCCAGCTAACATGTATGATGATGATGATGATGATGATGATGGTGATGATGATGATGATGATGATGATGACGATGATGATGTGGTTCCAGTCCCACCTGAACTTGGAATTGTAAGGACTGGGGTTAGCTCTATTCACATATGCCAAACTGTGTCTTTTACTGCCTTGTCTTTTTGAGTTCTGCTCCGAATAAATGATGGTTCTCTTGCAGAAAGTATCCATTGCGATTCCCTTAAGAAGGAAAATGTGCGAGGACCCGATAATTCGCGGTTGGCTTCTGCTATGACAGCGAAGTGCTTCTAAATATAAGTGCCATGCATCCTGTGTCTATAGGAAGTTCATCCAATTTGGTCCACTCGTAATTGTTTTGATGGCTGATCAACCTTCTCGCTTCTCTAACATTGAGTCGTGTTAGTTCCAGGTTGCGTTATTAGCTGGTCGGATATGCTAATTTAATAGGCTTGGTGCGGCTTTGACCGTTGAGACTCACAAGCTTCCTATGTATACGAGGCAACACGACAGGTGTGTCGCGCAAGCTGCACTGGCTACTAATGTTCTTATACTACATTTGTTGGAGTTTTTTCTAATGGATTTTAAGATCTCTCCCATAAAGTCAAGTGAGAGCATCTACCGACGCTGTAACAATGGAAATGCTTCACATACAAAGAATGCTGAACGCCCACGTGAGGTCCAACGTGGAATATGCGATCCAAGCCTAGCGTCCGTGGCGCAAGCGCGAGAACAATGCACTTGGAGCTCCACAAGTTAGAGCAAGGAAACTCGTCAGAAGTTTGTTTCATCTATTCTACAAACGCAGACTGTAGTCCCTGAGATTGCACAGTGGTGAATATAGACGTCGGCGAGGAGACCTAATCATGGTTTACTTAATACTGACAAACCCAATTCACCCATGCTGCAATCTGTAGCACCTGAGCCAAAATACCAACCTGAGATCACATCAGCTGCAATTGGCTACGCATTACAGTTGACTTGATTATCGACGAAACGTTTTCTCCCTCAGTGTGTCCCGTGGCTGGAATGCCTTTCCAACTCACGTTATCCTTGCCCCTACCTTAACGCTATTCAAAAACGCCTTGATGAAACGTTTTCCAACTTGCATTACTTGATATAGTTCGCTCCAATAGAAGGACGAAATAACACAAACCTAACCAAGTGTTTAACGGCCCTCTCCGCAACGTGGCGGTGAGGATACATGCAGAAGTGTTCATGTGAGTAGCATGGATGAATCAAAATTGGATTAGCATATCACAACTGTCAACTGAAGCAACGCACGAGTAAGCGTTTTCGTTTCCTTTTTTATTTCTCGTGCATTTCCTGAACTATAACAGCTCTATATTATTTTGTGTGTGCACCTCACAATTCCATTTCAAACTATCGTTATGCAGCAATGCATTTAAGTCGGTAGAATCTTCAAATGACAAGTGACTTATTCGATAGTGCTTTAAGTTTTAATCTTTATTCCAACCATCCTACACATGCCCTTTTACCCGTGATAAACCATTGCTCATTAAATAAACAAAATAAACAGCTGTAGCTCGGGGTGTGGATGAGAGGATTGTGCTGTTCTCCCAGCCGGGCATTTTTGTCGCAGACGTTTCGTTACCAAACTAAGCAACATCTTCAGTGCGGCTATTCAGTCCTGATTCGCGGAGTCTCGCAAACCAATACCAGATCCGAATGCCTATTGATTGTTGTCTGCTTCGAATGTCAGCCTTCGATCCGTTCACGTGAGTTGGTCGAGTGGACACCTCTTCTCCTTGTCGATCTGGTGCCTAATGCTGGCTTAACCTGCAGAGCTTCATAGGCACCCTCCAGCTTCAGGTGTTTGTTGATTGAGTTCCGGCCAGAATGCCAGGCCTCGAGGAACTCACGCGCTCTGCGGTTTCTTGCTCTTCCATGTATTTCAACGTTCTCCAGATCGAACTGATGGTTATCGGCATCCATGTGTATCGACGTTAAGGATTTCTCATCGTCGCGGCGGATGGCCAGACTATGTTCGTGCAGTCTTGTGCCAAGTTTTCTCCCAGTCTGGCCTACATAGTACTTGTCACAGTTCTTGCAGGAAATTTTGTAAACCACACCCGATGTTTCTTTCTTAGACAGTTTGCCCTTCAGCTTAAATGTTTACTTCGTATGGTTTCCGTTGCTTCGTGTGCAACAGTTATCCCGTGAGGCATTAGAAGCCTCGCTGCCATTTTCAAAATCCCATGGAAGTAAGGTAGGATAATCCTTCTTCTTTCTGTTGCACGTGTGGACGTGGGTTGTGACTGACTCTTCGACATCAAGCAGCGTAGAATAAAGCTTCTAGGGTACAAATTTTGTTGAAAAATGTCAAATTGGTGGTCTTCCTTCGCCTTCCTCAGCTGCGGCGTGCTACAATGTGTCTGGGCCCGTTTGAAAAGCTTTTCAAAGAAGAACGATTATCCTACTTTACTTCCATGGGATTTTGAAAATGGCAGCGAGGCTTCTAATGCCTCACGGGATAACTGTTGCACACGAAGCAACGGAAACCATACGAAGTAAACATTTAAGCTGAAGGGCAAACTGTCTAAGAAAGAAATATCGGGTGTGGTTTACAAAATTTCCTGCAAGAACTGTGACAAGTACTATGTAGGCCAGACTGGGAGAAAACTTGGCACAAGACTGCACGAACATAGTCTGGCCATCCGCCGCGACGATGAGAAATCCTTAACGTCGATACACATGGATGCCGATAACCATCAGTTCGATCTGGAGAACGTTGAAAGAGCAAGAAACCGCAGAGCGCGTGAGTTCCTCGAGGCTTGGCATTCTGGCCGGAACTCAATCAACAAACACCTGGAGCTGGAGGGTGCCTATGAAGCTCTGCAGGTTAAGCCAGCATTAGGCACCAGATCGACAAGGAGAAGAGGTGTCCACTCGACCAACTCACGTGAACGGATCGAAGGCTGACATTCGAAGCAGACAACAATCAATAGGCATTCGGATCTGGTATTGGTTTGCGAGACTCCGCGAATCAGGACTGAATAGCCGCACTGAAGATGTTGCTTAGTTTGGTAACGAAACGTCTGCGACAAAAATGCCCGGCTGGGAGAACAACACAATCCTCTCAAAGTAAACAGCGTTTAAAAGGCTTAACATGGTAGTGAGAATAATCAAAAGTCCGCGTCGGGAAAAGTTCACATTGAGACACGCTTAGCTTGTGTTATCCGGTAACTGCACGCTATTAGTACACAGCTGGGTACGTCCACACAGTCGGTACGTCCTTCGCCGTTAGATGCCTTGATGGGTTACTCGACAACCATTAAATCAATCAAGAAGTTGACGTGAACGAAACTCATATGCAAAACGTTTAGCCACTAGGCTATAGTTAGAAGAGTCAATGTGCCTCAATATAAGTGGATAGAGAGCAGGGTATTGCATTTCATTTTCGCAGTCCACCAAAGCATAACGGTTATTTTCTCGTTTTCATACGTTAAAACGGCCTCTCAAGGATTTCCTAAGTTCTGTATTTCTATCTTCACAAGTTTGGCCAAGCCGCATTAGAGTAACAAAGGGACATAAATTTAAGCCAAATAGGGGGAACGAGGTTGGATAACTTCAATGAGAGGAGTGGCAACCGTTTCACCCAATATAACAAACCTTGTTACGAATTCGAAATAATTATGTGTCGGGGTACGAATAGGCACGATGCGACTGAATATGAATGCGTTCATCTGCGAAATCACTTGATGGGACATATGACAAGACGAGTCAACAACAACGGTCAGAAAAGCGTATGTGACACATTCCCAAGTGCAAAACTGAACCAAACTCGAAACAGCTAGGTCCATGCAATGCGTGAAAGGAACTTACCAGCCGATTCTACATCAGTATGCACGTGCAATGGACCGCAATTACAGAAGGGCCAAATGCTCAGTGAGTACGTTTGTACTGCTTTTACACAACGCTTGATACAAACAGAGAACGGAAGCAACCATTTTCTCTTGTTTTAGTCACCTAAAATTGAAATGATGGGTCTCAACAGATCGATTTTTTGCTCACGATGTTCATTTCGTTAGACAGTGAGTGACGCGGCGACAGAAGATAGCCCGTTAACTGCTGATCAAAATCTATAAGTACAGATCATGTGCGATAGGTTGTACGGGACTATCGCCACGTCTATTTTCGGTAATATGCAAAAGTCGATAACATTGTGGCGCACCACATGGGTATGCTAAACTCGCAGCGAAAGTATACTGGAAAACTCGTCCTCAATATCTTGGAACATATTTGGAACCGATTAGGAAGTCATTATTTCAGAAAACTTGGTAGACGACCGGTTAATGTATTTATGCTGATGGACAACGTTTCGCTTTTGACACAAAAGCTTCATCAGGCCAGATACGGACCTCGTGTTCGCAGATTGGCGAGTGAATTTGTGCGCCTAGCAGGCATCTATGGCCTGATGAAGCCTTTGTGTCAAAAGCGAAACGTTATCCATCACCATAAATACATTAACCGGTCGTCTACCAAGTTTTCTGAAATGAAAAACCGTCCTTTTTGCTACCACAATCCGGACCAAAAAGAAAGAAAGGACAGATAGAATGCATTCATTGAAAATGTAACTACACTGTAGCTTTAGATACCAACTCACATGCTGTCGATTAATGGTCAAATAAGGTCAATGCTTGGGCTAGTGCAAATAACTTTCAACTCCATCAACTAGTAATTCTTCTCTGTGCTAAACTCAGTTAAAACAATTCCAGTATTTGCTTTTAACCACTTGTAGTGCGCTGATGGTTAGATGGCTTATTGATTCACAAGCTTGAGGTATCGAAATCTTGAAACGCGACAGGTACGCTGCTCCAATCGTCACGGTCTGATATAAAGTGTGGGATACCGCAGCCAATGTGCGAAGCACCAATACAAGGAGTTCACTTTCATGCCAAGTGTCGCACGAAAATGTATACCTCGACTTTGACATTCCTCTGCAGATTATTCCGCAGGAAAAAGATTACCGCTTATGTCTGGTTTAAAATATTAGCATGTAAGCATACTATTAGTAAAATACATCCACAGAAATTTTGGGTTCAGTTATTTTGGCATTTGTTGGCACAGTGGGGAAACGCACTCCGTAACAAGATAGTAAATTAGTAACACTAGTTCATTATGGGGTAAACGGAGAAACTTGCCAGAAATTATTCGAATGGAAATACAATGGAACAATGGTTTATAACTGGTACAAAAACATAGGCTGAACCCGACCCACAGGTTGGTACTAGAAGACATTTAAATTCAAATGTTACATCGGCGGACCAAATAAAATATGTATCAGTGAAGCGATAGAGTATTAGCGTATAGAAGGATGACTGCGTACTACTAGGCAAAACGAACTAACAATTTAATACTTATTGTAAATAACAAGAGGAATGCTCACACTTCTGCACAAATTTATGTGTGTCACTGTGGATCACCGCCGACCCTTTAATGGTCGGCGTAAACTCATTTGCTTCATCCACCCATCCAGTCGCCGGCCACTCACTGGTCGGCGAAACTTCACGTATGAGTTGTACAACTTCTGAAACATTGATTAAATCTGAGAAACTTTCATGTATGTACACCAACGCCCAAGGGATCCTCAGTAAAATTAACGAACTTCGACTACGTCAGGTTGCGAATGCTTGGTACCTAATTTCTATTACCGAAACTTGGTTACATCAAGAGGTGACTGATGCTGAGGTTGAGATAGCCGGAATGACACTCATCCGGAACGACCGCCCCAGCAGAGGAGGTGGGGTCCTACTCTACTACCGCAGCAATCTACAATGTACAATAGTTGAGGATCTGGAAACACACGTTACCGACTCACTCTGGTGCCGTCTCCGACTGAGACACAACGATACATGTCTCATAGCTATCGTTTACCGCCCCCAGCGTCCACTCTGGAAATGGATTCCTGCTTGATTCGTGGCCTAAACAGAGTAACAGGCACTAGGTACAGCCACATTCTCATCTCCGGGGACTTCAATCCACACAATTTGGAGGTGTCGGCATCGCCCAGTGAGCAGTTCAAAGCAGACTTGTAGGAACTGATCGCTAATATTCCTTTGTACAATCATGTCACCACGCCCACTAGATTCAGGACAGCAAACAAACCGTCCATATTGGACCTTGTGCTCACGAATGAAGAGCTCATGATTGACAAGTTATTGATGGATAGTCCATTAGGTCTCAGTGACCACGTAGTAATAACTTTTGACTATGTGTGTTATGCAGAGTATCCATATGAACACTCGGAACTAACTCATACAATCACACGCTACCAGGTATTGAAAGAACTCACTGACGCAGCTGCTTGGGAATTCTCAAATAAAAGTCCCCTTGACAACGTTTGGGCAGAGTTCGTTAATAAGCTCAGCGACATCGTCAACAAAGCATCAGAGACCAAACCCCGTCATCCCGCGAAAATGCCTTCAATTATAAGGAGTAGGACTCGCAAATGCCTGGCGCTAAGGGATGCAGCATGGCGTGTCTACAAGATTAACCCCGACTCAGAGACTTGGGGAAATTTCCTGGCCCATCGCAACCATTGCACCGCACTTGTCCGTGAGGACAAAATAACTTATCAACAGCGCCTAGCCAAAAAGTTCATGGCAAACAACAAATTGCTGTATAAGCATGTCAATAAGCTTCGTAAAGTGAAGCATGGAATACCCCCACTATTCACGACAAGCGGTAGAGTACAAAGCGCCGAAGAAGCAGCTAATGCCCTGCGGCTGCAATACGCCCCAATTTTTGAGCTCGCAACATCTACCTGTCCCATAATATCAAGCACATTACCGACACCTTTGTTTACAAATGTTATTTTCAACCCATCAATTGTGCTAAGAAATTTACTCTCACTGCGTGAGCATAGTTCTCCAGTACCAGACAACATCCGCCCGAAGACACTGAAGGCTGTGGCCACCAAGCTAGCTGAACCACTGTCACAGTTCTTTCAAAGGTGCTTTGATGAACAGCAAGTCCCCACTATGTGGAAGTGTGGCATTATAACCCCTATTTTTAAAGGCGGTAGCCGTTCCGATCCTGCAAACTATCGTCCAGTGACTCTCCTCCCTGTGCTCGCGAAGGTGATGGAAGCAGTCGTCGCTGAGGCTTTAATGGACTACCTGGAAAAATGCAACATCTTGGTAGCGGAACAGCATGGCTTCCGTCAACACCGGTCATGCACTACCAACCTACTTATTGCACGAGGCAGTTGGACGGAAGTGGCCGATGATGGGGTCGGAGTCGACGTCATATATCTGGACTTCTCCAAAGCTTTCGACCGCCTTGATCACCGCATCCTACTTCAAAGACTAAAAAGTTACGGAATCGGAGATCCTGTACTTGGTTGGATTGGCAACTTCCATTACCAACGAAAGCTCCAAGTACGTGTTGGGGGATCACTTTCTAACCCAATTGAGGTGGAATGTGGTGTCCCGCAAGGCTCAGTGCTGGGACCGCGTTTATTCCTGGTGTTTATCAACGACCTGGCAAGAGTAATCTCCACAAACTCCCTGCTTTTCGCCGATGACGTCAAGATATGGCGGGCGATTAGTAACAAGCCAGATCAGGATCTGCTCCAACATGACCTCGATTGCATTTAAGAACGGTCAAAGAGGAACAAGCTTCAATTGAACATGGCTAAGTGTAAAGTGATGCATCTGTGTCAGCAGCCGGTGAGCGCTTACAAGATTGGCGACCACACCTTGGCGAAGGTCTCTCAGGAGCCTGACTTGGGTGTATTGGTACAGGAAGATCTCTGGTGTTCAAAAATAACAGAGAAGGCGACGAGAACCAGCAATCAACACTTCGGCCTTCTTCGCAGAGCTTTCGGTCGGTTTGAACCATCAATATTTCCCCAAATGCTTAACGCCTACGTGTGACCTCACGTGGAATATGCTATTCAGGCGTGGCAGCCGTGGCAGAAACTGGATGTCGTTGCTCTCGAGACTCCTCAACGTAGGGCAACCAAGAACGTCAGGGGCCTCTTTCATCTCAACTATCAGCTTAGACTGAAATCTCTAAGAATGTAGAGCAGTTTATATCGGATTTTGCGGGCGGATCTCATAATGGTTTACCAGATTCTGAAGAATCCAAGCCACATTTGCCGTCCGCTCCTAGGATTGAACCACAACACTAAACTAAGAGGTCACCCACTGAAACTGACAATTCATTATAGCCGGCTTGAATGCCGTAGAAATTTCTTTTCTTTCCGCGTGTGTGAGCCTTGGAATGCCCTCCCTAATTATGTCGTCTCTGCTCCCAATCTGGCGATATTTAAAAAACGTGTTGACGATGCATTGTCTCACTTACATTTCATTTTATGACTTGTTAGCCAGGGGCAACAAAACGCAATCAAACAGTGTCATGCCAAACGCCTAACCAATGGATTTATGGATTTATACGTCTAATACGCGGACATCTCCGTTTTGCCACTTAAGTCTATGGTGGGTTCACCACAACGCTTTTCACTTTATTATGCAATGTATTTTCGCGATAATTTCCATCCTACGGGACTTGATAAGCAATGCTTTTTTACCCGTAATAAACCATTGTCCATTGTCCAAAGAGCCTAGTTAACCTGGAAATACCCAGAATATTCGCTTTCTCAACAAAGTGAAGGGTGTTTACTTCGATTTTCAATCCTTTTTTTAACAACTAATGTGGGGGCACAAACTACTGAGTTTGGAGGGGCGTTCCAGGGTTGGTTGATTTGGAGGCTGAAATACGTTCGTCGACAATCTAGAAGACTGTATTGTGGACTTAGTTTCTGACAATAATCTGAGTTTGGATTTCTGACTGTGTTTCAAAGGGTAGCACCATAAGTGACTGAGGTCTCTCAGTATGTGGTAAACCAATATGAGTTCTCCATATAGCCGCCGGTAGCGTCCATTGGACACTCCTAATGACTTCAGTCGTTGCTGATACGGAAAGTGGTGAAATCCTTTGACAAGATTCCTTGCACAGTTTTGGGAGTTACTAGCGTTGCAAGGTCACGTTTTAGCCGGGATTGCCAAGCCTAGATTGCGTGTTCCAACTGGGAACGCACGTAAACATTGAGCATCCGAGTGAGGCTGGGTGAATCCGAACACCCGATTGCCATCTGCAAGAGACCAACCTGCTGGTTACCTCTCATAAATGCGGACTCTAAATGTGTGGAACAGCCGAGTTCCTGAGAGCATGTCTGTAGATGGTGGTGTCGATGGCGGATGTAGACAACGCAGCACATGCCCTCATTGAATGGCGGTGCATTCCTTACTGATTAATGCCAGGCCTCATCGAGGCCGCGCAGTAGGACTTCAAAGTCATTAATTCCCTTGTTCGCTTGCCAAACCTTAACGTCATCCGCGAAGAGCTAAACTTTTGTGGTGATAACTCTCGCTTTATCGTTAATGAAAACTAGGGATGGTCGAGGCCCAAAGACCAAAGCCTACGGTACGCCGCACCCCACTCAAATCGGGTCGGACTGAGATGTTCATAGTCAAATCTCCAATTGCCGTTCGCAACGAGAGTTATCGATCCATCCTAATATTGGATCTTTGATGTCGTAGAGCTGCAGTTCATGAAATAGAATTCAATGATCTAACCTATTGAAGGCTTTCAGAGAGTCCAAACAGATAACATGGTTCCCTTCCCTTTGTCCACTGGTTCGGTCCACCTATCAAGTGCTATCAGCAGATTCGTGGTACATAACCGATGTTGAC